CACCTAGTTCTGTCACTGACAGAAATAATTTTACAGTGTCCAGGCTAATTACAGTCTGGTGTATCTGTTCCCAAGATCCCTGTGTGATAAATAATAGGACATACCATTTCCTAGGATTGCAGATCTCTGAGGTTCTGGGAGTTTCCGTGACTTCTGGAGAGCTGTTCTTTCAGAGAGATCCATACCTGACCTTCAGGAGATAGGAAAGGCTGTGTGCCAGTGTGTGAGAGTTCTCCTAATCCCCTGGAGTTGGGAGTTGTTCTGTGTCAGCAAAGCACCACAATAATTCAGAACAGAAATGTAAAACAAGGCAAACATTGCTCTGAGCCTGGCATAACTGTCCCAAGCATGCACAGGAGGCTCTAATCTTTATCTACATGTCATTAAAACTTACACCATATTTTGTTGGTGTGAATAATTGAGAGGGGAGTAACTAGTGGATTTCCATTAACAAATGTGAGCCTGAGCAAGGTGCTCCATTGCGGAGTGTGGCTGCAGCACACCACCCCAGCTCTGGCTCAGATCAAGGGACCTGCCCTGGGCTGAGACTCCTGAGTGGCAGTAGCCCTGCGGCCATTGGAAAGACATCCGAGCCCAGCACACCCGTGTCTCATCCATTCTCCCCAAACTGTCCTTTTCCAGCTATCCTTCAAGAGCCAGGCTAAAAATTTCAAGTTCCTAAGGCAAATCGGTTGTGCCAGAAAACGTTTTGCTAGGCTGTAGTTGAACATTCCAGGGGAGATCATTTCTAGCGTAGCCATCAGAGCCCTGGTTGGCACCACAGCAATGAGAAGCAGATCAAGCAGAGACCCTCGCCCCTTCGTACGTCACATCTAACCACAGTGACACACATCTCCTTCCATTTAAACTCTGGAGAAGTAGGTATGTGCTGTAACTCAGCTGCATACAATTGAGACTCAGGGCCTCCCTGCACAGTTGCAGGAAATGAGTTTGGTGTGTCTGGGACAGCCATGGTGTTCTCGCAGCCGTGGGAGCAGCGCAGCTCAGCGTGGTGTCCTCTCACCGCGGGCATGAGCCCAGCAAGCCCATGGTTCTGCTGGTCTGCAGCCACCCTGTGCTGCCTCCAGCCTGGCTCACCTCTCCTCAAGGGCCCCCCAGGGCTCCCTGTGGCTTCATCCAGGAGTGGAGCTGAGGAGCAGTCTCTGCATGGCACCCCCCAAAACAGCAAAATGCTGGAGAGCCCATCATTCTGAAATTTTCTTCTGAGGTAGAGAATTCCTTTAGGATCATTTTGTCTAAATATGGCAATTCAGGGGTTTGAAGCCACAAGTTATAATACTCACTTTTCCCTATGGTTTGGATTGCTGCAGTGAGTAATGTCCATTTCTTAGTTTAAAAAAACAAAAAAAAGTGAGAGTGTGGAAAGTAACAGTAAACACTCTTCAGCTGGTTACCCAAAAGAATTTCATTTTCTTCATTCCTATCTGCGTATCAGTTTAGTCTTAAGGTATGAGCCTGCTGCACTGGGAGGTTGCATTACTGTGTAGTACATTCTTCTAGTAATTTAAAATAATGCCAAAGCAAACACATTTTTAAAAAATAAGCATAAGAAGTAAATGGTATAGTTTGTTGCCCTCCATGTGGTTAGCTGTCTCAAAGGTCATAAAATGGGGGTCCTTTGGTGGAGCAGCTGGGTTTATGTAGCATATGCAGATTGGTATTTTGGATTTAAGCCAGATCTACCTAATTTTCCATTTTGCTTCTATGATGAGAATAGGTGGTTGAGGTGACTTCAAGGGGAAGTTTTGTGATTTCATCCATATTTGTATTAGAGAGAGACTTTTAAGAGTATTTAAGATTAAAACACAATCTAAGTAAAGTTCATGTACAAAAAACAGCTGATTTGTTTTATCAAAAGGCTGAGCCTGCAGCCAGGCACAGGCCCAACTCACGCCATCCAACAGCCCACACCTCACAGCTCTTCTTGCTCTGCAGTTCGGACGATTGTGCTGCGAGGCAAACAAACAGGAGCCAGAAAATTTACACAGCCCCTGCAGCCTTCCAGAGTGTGGGTGTTTCTGCCTGCTTGGATGCTTGCTTCTGCAGTCATAGGCGTGTGCACAGAGCAGAGAATTGCGCACATCCAGAAACCCCTCCTGTGGCCCTGCAACAGCAAATTCAGAGGAGCGTGTTGTGCTGCAAGGGTGGCACAGAGCACCGTACAGCTCCCTGCCTGGCACACCAGTAGGGCATTGCCTTTGGCCACTCCTGCCCCCACAGACTGCCCCCCAAAGAAAACAGTCTCGTGCTTTTCACCTTGTCATCATTGGCAGAGCTCCTGAGCTAAGCTCAAGTGCCTCTCTCTGCTGGGAGAAGCAGCCACCGAAGGGAGCTGGAGCTGTGAAAGTGGCTTTCCCCACTTACAGTCCTGGAGGGACCGTATAAGTAAAGAGCTTTTTCCAGTGAGCTAAATGGAGTTTTCTGTAGCAGAAATAACTTACATAAAATAAAAACGAAGTTGGCAGGCAGTATAAAGGCTTAAGCTAATAAATGCAATATTTAGTAGTGTATATTTGCTGCTGAATTTGTAAAGAAAACCAGACTGCAAAGCTGGCAGGAGCAACCAGCTAAGCACAATAAAGAGGAATGTCTTGAAGTGCTCAATAACCATAAAAAAGTTTTCTCATCAGAGGACAGACTGAGTACACTGACCTTCTTGGAGTGTAGTCATCTTGTACCCACCAATGGCAATTTGAAGGTAACTTGAACAACTTGACTGAGAATTTAACAAGATTGAGACATTTGTTGTCTGTTCCAGTCTGTGGATAAAGGTGGTGCAGAACCCAATAAGCTCTTGGGGAACCCAAATACTTCACCAAATACTTTCACCAAAAATCCTTCACACTATTCACTAACTACAGGTCCTGCTTTCTGTGCTGTTTCTATGTCTGTTTTGAAATGCAAGCAGTTCCTGATCCTTCCTTTACACTTTTTCTTAGCTAAATAGCACATTAAAATTGCATCTTTCTTTCTGTTTTTGTATATTTTAATCATTTCACTACTGTCTAATTAAAATTAAGCAAATTGATAGGCAGTCTATAAATACAGAGCATATCTCACCATACGTTACTGTAATTAAGGAACAGAGAACTCTGTGTACTAAGTTGTTTAATTACTTAGACATATGAACAGAGACACAGATTTCAGAGTAGAGCTACTAAATTCAGTGTAAAAAGTTCTATTTAATTACACAGTAATATTCTTTAATAGTTACCAACTAATAAAAAACATTCTTCCTTTATAGAAGGAATTAAAAGTATAGATGTGAAATATAATTAATGCTTTAAATAATTTTTTTGTGATTTAGAAGTGTTACATTGGGTAAGCTAGTCAACATATCTTCTCTTTGTACCATTCATCCTACATTTCAGATTACTGCAGTTCATAAGCAAAACTGACTATTCCAGATCTGGATATTTCAGATATAACTTTTTTCTTCTGCACCAGATGGGTGTGACACAGTGAAGTCCAGTGATTAAAAGAACGTCCAGCCCAGAAGCAATTCTCTCATGTAGTATTATTAAAATGTTCTAAGTTGTTTTTCTCTAATTCCTTTACTCTGAAGGAGGAATATGTGTGTCCACCGACTGAAATTGAATATTTTCACAAGTATGGCTACCTTAAGCTTTATGAATATTAATCTTTTAAAATTTAAATAGAGCAGTTTGTGTTAAATGCTGTGCTCTGCCCATCTGTTGTAGTTTTCAAGATTTAAAATCTTGTACCAACTTTTTGTCTAAAGATCATTGCTGTTGTGCTTGCTAGATGGACTTACTCATATTTTATTACTTCTTGGGATAAAAGGGTTTGTCTTTGTTTAAAGTTCCTCTCTTCCCTAAAAAGCTTTTCTTGATTATTTCACTTGGATAAACATATAGCTTGTGGGATCCCAAAATAACTTAGTTTTGCTGCTAGGAACCAATGTTGCTGGTAGGGTAGGAAGGATAGGAACCCTTAGTTTTATGTGTAAGCAACTGTGAAATTCTGTTTCTCTGTAAAGATATTAAGCCTATGTTAAGTTTTGCTGACAGGTATTTCAAAAGACCTCCATTTGTTCTGCTTACATGAACAAAACTCTACCCATGGAAAAATCACATTTTGATTCAGGGACTCCCTCTGAAAGTGAGGGTGGTTGCTGCCACTGGAACCCAGCTGGAAACATGAAATGTTCTTTGTTGTCTGCTTCCTCCATGTAAGCTTTTTCTTTGCCATCCTTCATGGCCTGACCCTTTTGAACACTTCTGACTTGAAGAACTGCTGTTACAATAAAAATAAGGTTCCCATGTTGTATACTTAGGATGCTCTGGCAGCCTAAATCCTTATCAACAGTAAAATGTTTGTATTTCAGTTTACCAAAGCAAGAGTTGTCAGGTGAGCAAAAATGTAATGAAATCTTCCGGGGCATGACAAGAAGATGAGATGTTCCATTAACAGGTGTAACTGGATGAGAAAGTTAACAGGCACAGTTGATCCTAAGGTGTCATGTGCTGATGCCAGCAATCCTTCAGTGCTACCCTAAGATGGATTCAAGTTGACAAGTATGTTTAGATTTGAATTAAAATAAGGCACAACTGAGACAGGTCACCACATGCCACATAGGAAACAATTGATTAGTTAAGTTTGGTGGCATGCCTGACATCAAATTTCCAAAGCTAGGCAAGATTGTGGGTTTCTCTACGTGTAGCTATGCTCATAGTTCATACAACGTGGTTTGCAATTTCAGATAACCATTGACAATTAAGATCTTTGGTGACTGCAGACAAGACATGTATGAATTAGCCATATTTAAGCATGCAAGTCTGACTTCAAACATCTGTATTTTTTCGTATCTTGTTAAAAGTAAATCCACTGTTAGAGACAGCTTGAACTCATTTGTATCAGTAATGTAGTAGGGCCATGCCTCAATGTTTAAATTAAGAAGTTTACGACCGTTTCACTAATCAGCACCTACCATGTTGCTTGTTGTTCTTTCTTTACAGAACATAGGAAACTTGGCAATCTGACTGTGACAGTGAAAAAGACCGTCCCCTCTCCAGAAGCAATACAGATCCTCTACCAACGCATGAGATATGAATATGAGTTTTATTACTATGTCAAAGAACAATTCCACCTGCTAAAGCGCAAGTTTGGACTGAAGTCTCATATCAGGAAACCAAGTCCCAGACCTGAGTTCTTCATTCCTTCTCCCCTGGAAACAGAGGAACCAATAAATGATGAGGAAGAAGATGATGAAAAGTGGCTAGAGGATATCTATAAAAGGTGATGGATGGAAGAGCTGTCCTTTCTCTTCTGGTGGCCCCTCCAGCTTTCATAAGATTTTTTTTAATTATTATTAAAAGTAATTCCTTAAGGAACTGAGTTAATGCGCAGCGGATTTGAAATGGAACAGAGGAGACCATTCCCACATGCTGGAGCCATTGGGAGGTACCTGATTTTGCAGGTTTGATTCATTATACAGTGCTGGCTCTGTAGCATCCTTGCTATGGCATAGTTCAAGAGAGAAGTACCTACTATCTGTCACAAAATAACTTTTGGAGTACACAGTAGTCCTTTGTGAATTGCAAAATTGAAAAGTAAATCTTACAGATTCTCATCTCTCTCTTTGACCAGCAACAAATCTTCATGGCACAACACTGTGGCATGAACTTCCAGCAGGTGAACTGCAGGCAGTGAGCCATTTGGGAAGCGTACCAAAGCACACTGGTGTCCCAGTGGTATGGTCAGAGACATTACTTTTTCTTCAGATCCAAGGATAACAGGCTCAGAAAGAGGCTAGGTAACAGCTCCTTGAATTACCTGTGCCGGAGGAGCAAGGCTGCTGTTCTGCCAAATCAGTACTAGTGACTGTAATGCAACTTACAGGAACCAGATATTTCTGGTTCATAGAGTGGGAAAAGTTACCAGGTCAGTGAATGACAACAACAAATTAAAAGTGCCAGGCAGAGCTTTATTTCAGTAGTTGACTGTGTTTCTATACTCTTAAGGAAAACGTGTAACATATGGGGTTTATGTTCAAGAATGGTATTTTTAGATTTTTATTATTCTTTTGGGTCACAAATTCAAGGAGATACCAAAAAACTACTCATTAAAAAGCTCAGGTGATCTGGAACTCTTATTGAGCACAACCTGTATTTCTGCAACTGCAGAACTGTTCACATCTGAATCTTGACATTTTCCTCACCAGCACAAACACCAGACTCCTGCTTTTAGTGTAGCTAGAAGGAAAATTAACAGTATGAACATACACAGCTTCTCTAGTTGAAGCATTTCAGAATCATCAAACAATACTACCAAAAATACTATATATATATATATACTATACATCAAAAAATACTATAAGATGCACTCTCTGAAACCAAAGCTGATTCAGTGACAGGTTATTAAGAGAGTCACTGTGGAAGTTGCCCTTGTTAATCACTACAGGTATTGTCTGCCAACACTAGGAAAGGGACCGGTGGAAGCTGGGAGGGGAAAGAGAGGTAGCACCAATATGTGACATGCTGTTGTCACTGAGGCAGGTGTCCCTGGAGTGGATTCCCTGTGATGTGTGGGTGTGCTGGCTGTTGGGCAGCCTGCCAGCCTGGGTGGTGCAGACACCCAGGTTACAGACCCACAGGCAGCCCTGGGCAGAGCTCTTTGGCCTTCAGCTACACAGAATATGGGCGAGTTTGGGGTCTTGATGAGGCCTTGACCTCCTATGCACCATTGTTGCCAGAGAAAGCTGGACTAATAGAGAATAAGAGCAATAACTTCCTGTCCCTAGAGCTCAGGAAAGAAGCAGGTACAAGATGCTGCAGCTGTATGCCAGGATGAGGACAATCCTCCTCTGTCTATCTCGCATCCTTTCTCAAATATCTACCAGAAAATTTTTGGTTCCTATTCCACAGCTGCCATCTGCAAGGTCATACTTAGGTTTGCTATATCAAGCAAAAGTTATTTTGTGACAGATGAAGCATATCAAGTCAGGATCAGCTCAAATGGGCTTTCCAAGGGGTTTTCTCTTCCATGAGCCTGCTGAGAGCCAGTAGAAATTATGGTAGATCTTCTTCACCGCTCAGTCTCTACCTATATACAGAGAATGAAAATAAAAGAGAGTTAAGACAAGATGCTAACTTACAGAAAATACTAGGAAGATTCTGTTCTCACTATTAACATCCCAGGTTGGTGGTAGCAATGCACTACTGAGGGGGAACACATTAAAGAAAGCTGAAAATGGCACAGATAGTAACTAACATATTAGCTAAAATATGAATCTGCTGCATTGTATATTTTAAGTGGTTTCTATGAAATTACATTGAAAGAGTAATGATTAGTTTACACACTGTGGAGTTGTTATATTTTGGAATGAACTAGTATTCTCATGTTTCTGAAATTCTGTTTGAATCCTTTTTCTGCCAATGTTTTAACAGAATATAGTCACTTAACACATTCAGCCTTTCTGAGAGTTCACTGATGCTTACAGTAAAATCTGTTTCTATCTGTTTATTTAATGGTATCTTCAGCCATCACTACTTATAATCTAAATACAGAAGCTGCTTAGTGATTTACTCGCTAGGTTTTAATATTGTTCTGTTTTTGTAGCAATCAACCTGGCCTCTCCTCCTCAAATGGTAATTCTTAAATTTATCTGGCACATAGCATCTAATATTCCTGGTCCTATGGCCTATTTCTCTGTCATTAAATATATTTTGCTTAACTTCTAAAAGGTACGTTATAAGCTGGTAAATCTTTGACTTATTTATTGAAACTTTTCAGCACATTCCAAATTCTAAGTTGCTCAGGAAGAAGTTAATTTAAATAATTATATTTGGGTCTGATGAATATTTCTTATTCAAAAAAAATCACTGTTTGTAAGCCTTTAGTCCACAACAGCTTTGTAGAAAGTGCCAATGCATATCCTTGGAGATCTTTGGGGGGGGGAAAAGGTGGCTGTTCAACACTTAAAAAAATAAGAAAATACATGTCTACATTAGCTCAGCTATGAATGAAGCAACGTATGTTTTGGAATGAAATCTTCTTTAACTTATTCACTACTATCTCCTGAAATATCAATAAGCCATATGATTCTTTTTTCAATCCAACAATGTTTAAAAATAAAACTTGCACATTTCTTCCTGGCGCCATAGTCCTCTTGCTTACACTAGTGTTCCTGCCTGGATACAGCGGCTGTGGGTAGGACGTGGGAGTTGCCGCCAACAGTACAGGGTTGGATAAGGCATAGGGCATTCTCTGAAAGTCATATTTGAGCAGTGAGGCTGGAGCAGGTTGCTCCTGGGTTATTCCATCTCCCAATGAGGTGTGAGCTGAATTGTTTCACTCCCCTGAGATGTGTGGTCAGTACGTTAAAGTACATTGTCCAGTGTTCCGTGGCTGCTAAGTAGAAGTTTTATCCAGGAGAGAAACAACTTAGTCTCCATACACCTCATTTTTACTAGATACGGTGTTTGATGGCCTGACATAAAAGTTTCAGTAGTCACAGTGGTGTTACAATATAAGTGAAGTATCACAGTGCTTTCACACTAATGAGAGAATCAACTGTTGTTAAAATGCAGCATTCTGGAAAAAAAAATAAATTTTAGTCTTAAGTTTCAAGTGACAATGACAAATTGTGCCATTTTTTTGTTTCTGTTCAATTTACTTCTCTTCCACATGAATTTTGTTGGTGATGCAAGGCTAAGTCCAAGTATCTCAAATGTTCTCTGCTTATATGTAGAGAAGTAGCTTGGCAGAACTGAAAGTACATTAACCTGATGATGTATTTAAAGCATTCCAGTTTCTTTGCAATTCTTTTATCACTGGATCTTTGATGAATCATTTGAGTGTTAGGATGTAGAATGGCATATTGTATCATAAACACACGAGCAAACCCACAAATTTTAAATGTGGGAGACCACATCTGTGAATTCAAGCCATGGAATTTTTCCTCCTTTCATTATTTTATACAATAAAATTGAATGTACAGGTACATTTTTTGACTAGCAAAGGAAACCACACTGCATGCCAACTTTTATCCTCTTATCAAATGAAAAAACATTGTCTGCCAAAGAATAAAATTCTACACTCTTTTAAAAAATAAAGACCTGTAATTCCCAGCTAAGAGTAATGGTGCTCTGATCTTTCCCTCCATTTTAAGAAAGGAAACATCTGTGATGTTAGAACATTAGCCTAAAACAACACAGCAACATTTTTGAGAGCTAAAATATTATAATACAGCACCACAGCATTCCTTCTGTTTTATTTTTAAGGACTCGGCCTTTTTTGCAAGGAGTTCAACTAACACATAAAACACTGTTGATCAGTCTGCTTGCGTGAGCCAAGACCAGAGCAAAGAACTGAGTGTTGCTACGTACAGACCTCCACACACAGATTCCATGGGAAAAACAAGGGTGTTACCAAGCCTTGGAAGTGCCTGTCTACTGGCAGTGGAATCACCGGAATCACTTTTGCAGGGTCTGTGCCAAGGGAGGGTTTGCAAAGTTAGGCTCTGCTTAAGTACCCACAGGAATGGCAGGAAGGTGTTGGAAGGCAGCTCCATGAGAAATGGCCACTGCAGCATCAAACAATTTCACTGCAGAATATTTAAAGTGGATGGGAAGGGATCTCAGTTTGAAGGTTGAAAGTTAAATTGCAACCAGCATAAATCAATTCCTGATGTCTCACAGCTGAGAAACAGACGTAAGTTTTCTTTGGTTTGTCTGGAAATGGCGTTGTATGCCAAGCTGCAGCGTGCAGTGAACATTGAATCTCAGTTGTAAGCTTCAGAAAATCGGTGTGTGTGTGATGAGAGCACCAGCACACTGAAATGGTTGTGTCTCAGCACCGATGGCTGACCCTGTCATCTTGGAAGAGCCTGCAGAAAGGTTGTTGTGGGGGCAGTGGGATGGGGGAAGGGGCAAGTTATCTGCAAATACAAATTTGGCCTTGCAGACACTGTAGGATGGCAAGATTTCACCAGTGGTTTATTTAAACGTGGATTTTGAGTATAAACATGTGGATTTCCTTTTCTGAGTGTGTAAAGGAGGAATGTGTTGGTTTTGTATTTAACTAATTGTGGCTGGAAGGGTAAGTTATACTGCTGTCAGTCAGGTGCATTGGGGTGTACTTTATGCACACTTTGTCATCTCTCTGTTCCCTTCTTTGGATGCAATGGGCAAAAAAAACCAAAAGCTGAAGAATTCAGCTATACTGCAGGGCAGTTGGTGCTGTGAAAAGTAGAGATTAGCAGGAATACATGGAGGTGATGCTGTTCAGAGTTAAGATTATTGGTGTAAACGCAAGGATGATATAGAGCAGCCGGCAGCAGTGGCACACAGGCTGCTCACTCTATGGCTTTGTCTTGTCTAGAAAACTTGAGACTATGCTTCAAAATCAAATGCTGCTTCATATTTTTGATTTGTACTGTTAGTAGGACAGTACTGGATTTTTTACTTTTTCCCTGTGCTTTCAAATTGCCACTTCACCTGACAAACTTGGCAAAGCATAAGCACACAGCCCATTTCTGTATCTGATGTGCAGGAGCTCATCAGAGACATGGATTTGATCCTCCAGCAAACCTTTCCAAGTGCAAGTGACAAGCAAAGTGAAGAAAATCCTTGGCACAGTGTTGCTGCTAACAGGCAGAGTAATATTTAGTTACTGTGCCACAAGGGGAAAGTATTCCTGCAGTTCTCCAGTTTACTACAGGATACTTTGGATAACCTCAAGCAAATTGTCAGGTAAGCAATTGTCAGGTAGCAAAAGCCAATTGCATGTCACAGTGTTGAACTCATGATCATCTCCAGGTTATGGGCAGGAAAGAAACAGAGGTGGCTACCTTTTGTACCAGACACAAGAATGACAGTCCAGGCTGTGGTGTCCCACAGCCCACAGAGATTTCTCTTCTTGAAGATTCCTATCTAGTTGTTAGTCTCTGACTCCTCAAAGAAGACAAGATTCTCGAGATCATGCTGGATAAACATGCCAGAAGGAACAGCAGTGAGACACCTGTGCTTCACAGAAGAGCTGTGAGCCTTTTCCATTCTTACTTTCTCCATTTGTTTGTGTTTGGCTTTATTTGCTGTATTTCCCAAGGTCAGTCTGCGTCGGGTATTTCTTCACTAACCATGTTGTCTAAGCATCTTGGAAAATGATTAATATGCTTATCCTTTTGATCCACAGTGGAGGTAAAGAAGTGCTGTTATCCCCATTTCATACATTGGGAATGGATACAGCAGGAGGGTAAGTGATATTCCAAATGTCACACAGAAAGGTTCTGAAAAAGAACTGATGATAATTTAGCTGAGTGTCTTAATCCTTGAACTTTCTTTTCTGCTGTAAGATCTGCCCTAGATTTTAGAAGGCAAAACAACTACTATGGAAAATTTTAGTTACTTGGAGTCTTTTCCTTAAAACTGGGAAAACCTTTCAGTTACTGCCTAAATATGAATAATGTTTTAGCCCTTCAGCAGACCATTTATTTCCTTTTGGGACAAAGATTCATTCCAAGTTTCATCTGTTTAGTTGCATACTAAACACCTGCAGAAATGGTTCGGTTGTGAGACAGCTTTGTGTTTGGGAGCAGTGTTCCTATAGCAGTTACGAGGAGATAAGCAGATAGATGGGCGGCCAAAGTCACGTCTTGTAAATTTAGCCGTTCACGAGAATATGGTCACATTTTCTCCTGCAACATATGGCACTTATAGCATACCTGAAATGTCATCAGACCTGAGTTGATACATGTGGTCTAAGTTGTGTTTTCATTTGGTTTTCCACAGTGCTTAAAATCCCAGAAAAAGAAGCGATGCCTCACTGTTCAGCAACCAGCATGGAGTGAAAAGAGTTCTCAGACAGCTCACCAAGCAGTCAGTTTTGTATGATGTACTCATAAACCTGAACTTCTGATACCTTCTACTTATCGGGCAGGGGCATATGCCTCTCACCTGAGCGATCTGGTGCTTTCATCTCTTCCCTGTCCTTGCCTCACTTGCACAGCACACATCATTAAAGTTTTTGCCTGTATCTTCTGGGGAGCATCTTAAGGAAGATTGTGCAAATGTGGACATAAGCCTCTGTTCCAAGTATCCATGGAGATGCATGAGCTGTGGAGCCTTGCTCTGAACTTTAATAGTGGGGGAAGGCTCTTGATTTTGAGCCTAGCTTGCAGGTGTCAACTTCATTCCTGCTCCAGATCTAGTTTCTGTTCTGAGTGTTAGGGCGGGCCTGTCTGTTGAAATGAGACTTAGCAACCCCAAATGCATCTCCTCCGGCTTTGGGCTGCGAGGCTGAAATGCACTGGCAGGGAAGCCCACAGGGGTGTAAAGAGGCCTCCATAGCTTCAGTCCTCTGATGTGAGCAGAGACAGTGTCAGCGGCAGCCCTGGGGGCTGGTGTCTGAGTGGAGTGGGGGAAACAGAGCTGCCTTCTCACTCATGGTGTGCTGTTGGGCACTTCTGCCAATCTCCCTTGGACAAATTTCTGCAGTCCAGTCAGCACTTGCTGTGGAAAAGGAAGTTTTTTTCCTGCACTTCTTTGGACAGAAAGCTGGCAAAGAAAACCCAGCAGTGCTTCTCTTCCGTAAGTGTTGCAAAGATCCAGGGGAGATGTCAGGGTGCAAGGGAAGGAAAGCAGAAGCCTCCTGCCCTGCCCCAGGGGCTGAGTTCCAAGCTCTTTCTCATCAGACCTATGCAGGATGGTGCTGGTAGAGGACAATCCTGCTCCTTGAAGCATGAAAATCCTGCTCCTCACAATGGAATTTTGTGTCAGAAACTTAGCTTGGAGTCTCTGCACAGTTGTAGCTTTCCATCAGGCTTTGCCCCAAAGAACATGATTTGGCCCATCAGCACTGCCTGGAAACTGAGCTTTCTAGTGACTCCACAATCCAGTCCTTGTCAGTCACGCCACTTGGGTCTGTGCATGGGGCTCTTTGTGATAAACCTCACTGGAATTTGGAAAACATTCAGCAAATTTGACCTCTACTTTGTCTTACAAATATCAGTGTCAAGCAGCATCATGCATGCTTTATCACTCCAAAGCAGGGAAAAGGAGATGGAATTAGTGCAGTCAGCTCTGATTTTCCAAAACAATATCTTCTGAGTTAAAAAAGCTTTTTGCCTCTCAAGAAGAAAATATAATGTCCTCTTTTTGCCCCAGGACCACAGCTTCTTCTCAAACTTACTCTAAATCCTTATGGACATGGACTAGTCAACCCAAAGGAGCCTGAAGTGTTTCTTGTAGGTAGAACACTACAGCTCCAGCAAGGAAGGTGCGATGAGACCCAGCCCATTTCTCTGTTTTCACCACAGGAAAGGGAACAGAGGCATTGGAAAGACCTCAGTCAATAACAGCTCTGACCAAAGTTAAGAGCTTCTTACTTCTCTACACAATAGAAAAGTGCAAACTAGATACAGAGCTTACTGGGGCAAGCCGGGGAAAACGCATCTAGCTGCAGGTCAGCATCTTTCCCAAAAGCTGCTGCTCTTGCTAACAAAAGGAAGATCAGACCCTTTCTTCCCTTAGCAGATGGATGTGGTCCCTTAGCAGTGCCCCCTCCCTGGCCCCCTCGCAGAGCTGCCCAGGCCAGGGGGCCGTGCCGGTGCTGTGGCAGGCGGCAGATGAGGACGCC